ATGTCCGATCAGTTCATTCCTATCGCTTGACACGAAATCACAGTCTTTTGACAAACATTTGGTCTTAGGATCAGAGGAATGGCTTTTGCTGTGAATATCATAATACTTCTTATGTTTAAACCATTTCTTACAGCCTCTGAACTGACAGTGAAATATCGGAGCGCTTGAAGGCATTCCTCTGTCACTTATTTGATTCATTGGTTTATTAGATGCCATAGTCTTTGCCACAACTGTTGGACTCATGAATGGCTCTCATGTTTGCGTCTCTTATGATAACTCAACACATGTTTGAGAGAAGTCTTAAACTGACAGCCCTTCCGATCGCACGTGAATTTAGGGCCCGAATGTGTGAACACGTGTCGTCTCAGAGTTGTCTTATCCTTAAACCGTTTCCCACATTCAGGCCAATCGCATGCGTGCGGCCTATCCGTGCTGTGAGTACTTCGATGTATTCTTAGCCTCAGGTTTGGGTGCATTTATAGTTATAAAAATATTGTTCAGTATATTAGAATATAAATTATAATTATAATTCAATTGTGATCAATAAATCATTAAATAAATAACAATAAAAGTTATTCATTGAAACCAATTAATCCATTACTCTATGGATTCGTTTCATATGCTCTTTAAGCGCCAATTTATGTTTAGTCGTAAACTGACAGCCCTTCCACTGGCAGGGAATGGGTGGACCCGAGTGTGTAATCATATGTTGCGTCAAAACCTTCTCTGTCTTAAACCGTTTGCCACATTCAGGCCAATCGCACGGATATTGCCTATCAGTGGTGTGTTTGTGTGAATGCAACTGAAGACTCGTTGTATAATTGGTGCGGTACTCACACCCGGGCCACTCGCACGACAACCGGTAGTCAGTGTTGTGACTCAGTTTGATATGTTTTGTCACGTGGTGTGGGTTACTGGATGTGTATTCGCATCCGGGCCATTCACAGGCATACTCCCGACCCGCGTGTTTAAAACTGTGATAATCTAACGCCGCATGTGTTTTATAGCTCAGACCACATCCCGGTTCCCGACATACAAACGGTTTGTCGTCTGAATGTTTGGCTTGATGTACCTTTAAATTGTGTTTAGTTTGGAACGCTTTGTTGCAATCCTTGTAAGCGCATACAAATGTCTTAATGGGCGTAGATCTTGCATTGGAGTGAATGACACGGATGTGAGCCGCGAGTGTCTCGTTAGATATGAATCGTCGGTCACACGACTCGAGAGTACAGACATAGGGCTTAACGCCGTTATGTCTGTTCACATGACT